GCTACTAGGGGCTCCTGGCCTTACTACTAGGAGCAAGGACGCTACTAGGGGCAATTAAGCATATGGACTCTTTGGACTCTTTGGGTCTTCGCTTCGAGTTAAGCTTGGAGCAGCAGGCAACAGCCCTGTCGCAGCAGGCTGGATGTGGGGTGGATGGGAGCCTAGGCGGTGACAAACTCTTGACTCACTTGACGCCTCGGCCCGCAAGAAAGCTAGTTGCAAAAAGGATGAATTTGATGACATGTGAGTCTCATGGACCATTGGGTCAAGAGATTGTTAACTTTGTTGCAAAAGGCCCATGCTGAAGGTTTTGATTTTAACTTACCCCTCAGACTTTGTTTGCCATTTGTTGCTTCAACCAGAATGACAACTCAAATGACGGATGTGTGCCTGCTTCAGGTAGCTTTCCTGGCGCCTTTGCCTTTACTGTTCAGGCGCACTCTTGACCTACTGAGAAATGTAGGCCACAAGCAAGGATTGGTCCTCTGCCAGGGGGAGATCAAGCGTGGTCGACAGGCGCGACCAATGCAGACTGGCGACAATCCAGTGCTGCGTGCATCCCTCTCACAGAGTAGGCTACAAGATGCTATCATGAAAGTGCAAGTGCCAAGGAAAGAAGCAAGTTGAAGCGAGTGACGATTTTGGCACTAGAGACTTTGGCTCAATCCTCAAGGTGTTCAAGAGATCCTTTGTTCAAGAGGTTCTTTGCAATGCCCAGTGGTCCGGCGTTGGTTGCGGAACAGCAATGGGAGCCTGTCATGTGGCGAAAGAGTACCCCTAGTGGTCAGGCTGCCAAAAGCACCACAGCCGTGAACCAAGCACGTCGGCGGGGAGAGAATGTTGAGACTTCCAAAAAAGTGAACTCGGGCAACCGAGTGCACGTGGTTCCAAACGCTCGGAAGCTGCTTGGCACAAATCCCCCTCATTGAGCCAAGAGCATTTGCCAGGCATGAACATTCAAGAAGTATATCTTTATATATGTTTACGTTGTATGTTGATCATTGGAAGTGTGGAGTGATTTCAGTCCTCTCGGTGTTAAGGGCCAGCCAAGGCTAGATGAACATGCAGAGACTTTTCGTCATCAGGCGGTCTCGCATGACTTCAAGCTCGCCCTTCAGCAGGCACGCCTGGCAAAGAAGTGGACCCAAGCAGAACTTGCTGCAGCCGTGAATGAGAAAGCCTCAGTGGTGAACGAATATGAGTCGGGCCGCGCCATTCCTCATGGTGCTGTAGTGGTGAAACTCAGCCG